TTCAAATATCGGTTTGGTCGCGAGAACAAAAGAACTTCAGCTTTGTTTAAAGGATTAAGAGTTTAATTTTAATTTATTAGGGAACCAATGGACATGGCGCTAAATGTTAATCTAGTGTAGGGAACGAAATTAACGTGGAAAAGCTTTAGATACCAATCGCTGCCTATGCCGGAAAGTCGCGTTCTTCTTTCGGAACGCGAGGCAAATGAGATAGTTTCATTGTTCAGCACGTGTTCCACAGTTCTTGTTGGCCAAACAACCAGGGTGATTATAAACATCAGCTCGAAGTATTTAAAAGGTTGTCACACAGTTTATACTCAGTCTTCCTCTGTTATATTCATTTTGAAATCACTGGTGGTCCTTGCAATCTGATTAGCTCTATTTTATGCGCTCTAAAAATCTTAGCGCTTTTGAGCTTTAAAGTATTCGAATCGCACGTGACTTGTTTACTGACCGTCAAGTTAACACCCGCAAGCACCTCTGTTTAGTACAAAAGCTTTAAGTAAAACCAATAGCCTTCAAACGTGTACGTCTCAAACTAGAAAAATAAGGTAAAAAATGTATCTGTGAAAAATCCTTTAAAGAGTTTAGCTCGATAGTGATACTAAAGTTAACCAAATGTAAGGAATCAATGGTGCCCTCTTTGGAGCGAGATTATAAAAAAACTATGTAAAGTGAGGTGTTTGCTTTGCTTAATAGATTTTATTTTTATTAAAACGACATTTTCTTTCTTTGTAATTTGTTGCTGTTGCACCCTATAAAGTAGCCTTTAAGTTGAAAGAGGCAACCAAATATTTATTCGAACAAAGAGAAAAACACCAAAGGTTAATTAAGGGGAAAGAATGCAATTTTCAGTTTGGGCCCAATCTGTCGATCGTTCTTTTATCACTCATAGTTTGATCTCATTTTTTTTATCTCAAATGGTAAGTTAATAAAAATTTATCGTGTTTGGCGCGAAATTATTCTTGGTTATTTTTCTGCGGGCATTATATTATCTGTTTCGAGATGTGGATAGTTTTCCGGGAGCGATGCTCGAGAAAAACTGTGAGCTTGTTTATTCTCCTTCAAATGCGTTTGCAATGCGCAGAAAAAATATTTATGAACAACTGTTTGCTGTGAGGGATGTTTACTTTTCACTGTTTTTTGGTACAACTTTATGAACAAACAAACAGGCCCCTTTTTTCTGTAACAGTAGCTATAGGCTCTTTGATCTTGATTTCTTAACTAATTCTTTTATCGTAGTAGATGTCAGGTTTGCAAATTGGGGAATATCCCTTGGGGTATATCCTCGGATATTCCCAAGTTTTAGCTGGGGCATATTCGATCACGTGATGCGTTTAGACCAATCGTGTGCGAAAAAAAGTATTGGATGGATTATAATGATGAAAAGGTTTATGTCTTGCTCTTCGTACGGGATATTTATATCTAAAGTGATCTTAGTGCATTGACAACTCTTCACAAGAGAGTCTCTTAATTTTTAGATACATGTATCCACGAGAGCCATATTATTCGTTCGCTTTTCGTCTTTATTGCTAAGCGTATAATTTATATTTGTTATCGTGTTTTTGTCCCATTTTATTTTCGTCTTGTTTTTCGATCGTTTATCATTATAAATCTGTGCTAATTATTTTCTCGGCGTCGTATAACACGACCATATATTGTCCATTACATAGGTTAATTTGCCTTATCGTTATCCGTCTATTTTGCTTGGTAAATTATTTCATGTATGTATTCGGAGAGCCGTAAAGATCTTGTCAGTAATAATTTCTTTTCCTTTTATTTTAATTGTTAATTTTGCCTCCCTCTTGTTTAACATACTGTATATTCCGTTCTTGCTTAGGTTTTTCATCCTTAAGTGCATTTTTAATTTTTCCAAATTCTAAGTTACAAGTATGACATTCATAGTAAAACTTACTTTAAAACTCCTGCAGAACTAACGATGGCCAGTCAAACCGTTATGCGGATCATCATCTTCGCCGTGTGTGGAGTGACCCCAGTCATTTTGGC